TTTTATGTGCTATATATAGTTGTGGAAGGTAATAATATAATGTTTATTGAATTGGGCAAAATCTCTCAATAATAGATGTATGGTGAAATTGGCTCAATATGGATGATTAGGTCACACATACACTAATTAATTAGTAATTACAATATGTTAGTGGTTACATAATGCGGACCGTTTGTATTTACTTTTATTAAAATGAAAAACTTGTTAACAATCTAACATGTAATGTTCATTGGGATAACCTATATATGATCTATATACATAATGGTTAGAAAGTTTCAATAAATTTTATTTAGCCAACAATTAATAATAGTAGTAGTTCATTTAATAAAAATATGTTTCACCACTTAATAAAAATATATGACTTTTTCAGGTACACGATTTATTTTGACATGTCTCATTTTGGATGGTGTCCATTCGTGTAACTCCTTTTTATGCCCTTAAATACAGTATATTTTTGTTTTTATTTTAATAGTATATATATTTTAGTATTATACACTACAAAAAAAAACTCTTACATTCTAATGAAAATTTTCCATTAGAATTCTTTATATTTTTCATGGAATAGCTATTCCAACGGATATTCCTACGTATAAAAGTTCGTGAGAAAAACGGCAGTGGAATAGCTACACTCCAACGAAAAATCTTATGGAAATAAATTCCTACAACTATTCCAACGGAAAAAATCTGTTGGAATTTCCCAACCATCCAACACTTATTCCAACATAAAATTAAGTTTGTTGGAATATTCATTGGAATTTCCAACGGAAATTTTTGCCGTTGAAATTTTTTGTTGGAATTGAAATATTTTCTTGTAGTGATATGAATATATATTTCATAACTAATTAAGAATAACTACAAATATCGGATATCGAAGTCATACAATAATTTAAAAAAAAAAAATCGGATATTACAAAGATATATCAAATATTTTCAAAAATCAAATTCCATTAAAAAAACTTACTTATGATACTCTATTTAAAAATTTAATACCATTACCTAATTTATAATTTTAATATTATAACACATATAAATAACTTATAATATTTTATGGCTTTTTTTTTTTGGAATAAATGGAGCATATTATATAATCAATTGTGGCACACTTTTCTTTAAGTCTTAATTGTGTAATTAATTCTATTGGTTTTCATATCTATAATTCATGACTAAGATTTCCACCATCACCATTATCATTCACTTATTTTAGGCACTGTGATATGATGCTTGTTGATTTGGGACTCATTATAAAACAATTTATAGTAAAATACTTTTATTACTTATTATAAAGGCCTACTGATTAAATTAAAGTATCAAAAATTTTAATAGGTATACGTACTTTTAAATTGAAATTTGAAAATCTATAAATAAAAAAAATAAAATAATAATAATATTTTATGGGATAAAAATTAATGACTATTTCACACATGGCGTGGGTCAAAGACTCTTGATATGGCTAAAAACCAAGAGGCAAATTCTTTGAACTTGGTTATAATTAAAATAAATCCTATAAATTCACCGGAAAATACAAAGGTCCGTTACGGAACGCCGGAACGGTAATCGTTAGCGTTTTCTACTATTGGATAAAAAAGCAAGTTATATTGTGTGGATAATTTACGATAACAAACCGGAACAAAATAACGACAGGGCTTTATCGCGCCATTCCCAAATTCACCATGTGCTTTGACCTCATTTCCAAGTAAAATGATTATACCATAGACAATTGAAATACCTCGTGCATGGATTTCTTGAATTAGTGGATTGTGCTTTGCTTTGGATGATTTTTTTTTTTTTTTTCTTCGCATATTCTTGTGCATGTTGAAGTAAGTAAAATATTTGGGTAATGTATTTTTACAAATATTGTTGAAAATGAAAAGGTGTAGTCAATTTTGATCATATAATTGTACTTTTGAAACTAAAATGTATATTAAAAAAAAATTATAAAGAAATATAACATTTCTTGTTGTAAACTAATGTTTTTTTTTAAATGTAGTATTAATATAAAATATTTATTGAAAAATTATTTTCCCTCCTTACACTCCAATGTGCAAACGAATGAAACACAAATTCTTATACGCGGCGATCCAATCGTTAGTTGCGTAATGTGTGACTGAGTGAGTATTAGAAATACAATTCTTTGTATAAGACGGCCTAACATTAAAATATAATATTATTATTCATATTATTTTTTATAATATAACATGTATACATATTTATTAAAAAATACTAAAAATAAAGGAGATATTTTTACCACATAGAGTGTAATCAAAATATGATTGACATTACTAACAAGGGTTAACTCAAGTGGTAAACAGCTTGATGCCGCTTAAGCAAGGTCTTAGGTTCAAGTATTTGTGGATGCAGAAAATCCTTGTTGGAAAACTCACCTGCCAGGTGTGCCACCCCACCCGGGTCGACCAATGAATTAGTCGGGACATAGCTTCAAATACCGTGGCTGGCTAAAAAAAAAAAGTATGATTAACACACCTCACCCATTTTCAATTTCCTTCAACTTACATTACAAACCAATTGAGAAAATAAAGGCATTCATTTATATAAACATAAACACCACACACACATATTCACACACATAATATCCTCATTCGCAACAAAAATCTCATTTTTTTTTTATCTCTCTATAAAGCAAAAACAGAAAAGTTCTATATAAAACATCTCCATCAAGACACCATTTTTTCCCAACTCTTTTAATCATCACCGTCGTCTGATTATCAGAAAAAAAAAAAAAA